CTTTTAGCTACAGTATCCTCTCTTTACCTTTCCAATCCAATTAGGGGGGTTTTCTTTGGAGGATTTGACTCCATTTAATGTGTTCAATTTCTTCCTTACCCATTGGTAACTGACTTTCAAACTCATGAGGTTGCCTTCCTTTCTTGGGTCCATTCCTGGCAACGGCACTTTGATTTGCAGAAATTGAACTGCTCTGCAAAGTCTGAAGGTCTCTCATTAGCACTGTGAAATATTTCATAAGATACTAGGGTCCGCTCACGTTGCAGCTGCTTTGGTTGAAGTAGGATTGTCCTCAGTGGGAAATTATTTGTGCTGAATACCCTACCTGGAAATGTATATGTAGTTCCACGCACTAGTAGCTTCTGAAGAAATGCCCTAACTTTACTTATCAGTAAGTCTTAAGCCTCTTACTTTATTATCTGAGAGGTGTCAGCAGTTCTGCAGCGTTCTACAGAGTGGGGGAGCAGTCTGTGCTTTAGGTTTGCACTGGCTCCTGAGACCATTTTGCAATTACTTGACTGCATTCTGCATTCTGCTGTGGGACTGTCATTAGTATTTTCTTAAGGCAGGCTTCAATTAACATAGCTGGTTTTTATCAAGTGGAGAAAAATAGTAGCTATCGCATGGCCAGCAGGTGATTTTTGAGTTGCTCAAGCATATTTGCGATTTATAAAGATTCCTGGGGCTAAGAGATAATTTCACTAGGCTTGCTCCTTAGAGTTTCCAGGTTTCTTTCAGTTTTCCGATTTCATTTTTTCTAGCAGCACATTCATTGGTTATGTAAGTTGCTGCTGATCCTTGTCTTCAGTCTGTATGTACCTCAGCCTTTCTGAGCTTGCGATACTTTGCTGTCTTTTGAGTGTTGTCGTAATAAATCTTTTTTCAGTCATTTCCTTTGCAAGATCTTAAAGTTTAGTAATAAAATTAATTTATGAAATTTAAAAAAAAAAGTCTTCCAAAGGACTTCCAAGGGAAGCCAAACATTAAAGATGGGATTAGTTTAGGTGAGTGAGAGAAGCAGTGTATGCCTAAACCCAGGCTCTGTGTAATAACTCCAGAACATTGTGAAAGATAAGCTTTGGATAGGTTTAGTTATAATTATCTTTATTTCAAAATTTCCCATTTCCTAGTTACTTATCTTGATTTAAAAAGCAAATCTGCTCCAGCCAAGCTTTATTGTACACTCCATCCTTAGTTATTAGTCACTTCACTTGCATCCCAATGCACACTATGATTTAATTGTCTTTACTGAGCGTGGACTTTCTCCTCTGAAGCTTATGCCAGGTAGAACAAATTTTGCTATCTCTCAGTCTTTACTCCTTGTCCCAGTCTTTTTACTTCTCATTAGTACTGCCTTTTAACAATGTAATCACTTCCAAAATATTTGCAGGGCTTTTCAGATAGTGTTTTATTGTGCTAGATCACCCATGGCACTGAATCTGGTTTGGACACAGATGTTTTCCGTCTAACTGATATTATATAACTGACTTTGGAAAATTAAAACTACATTTTTACTTTTTTCGTTACCTGAATCTGCCTTGATCTTCCTTCCTCTGTCTCCTCAGTGGATTTCTAGATCTCTGCGATTGGTAATTTGATGCAGAGGACTCTCATTAAATAAAACATTCCTTAAAATATTTTGGGTCTTGCTGTATAAACTGATGTTTTATTGTCTTACTGAGCTCCCTCAGATTGTCCTTATCTGGAGGCTTTTTCTCCATGATGGAAATTCACAAAACCCTCATTTACTTCTTCATTTATTTTCATGTGGAAACACATAAAGCAAAACAAAGGGAGAGTGTCAAAAAAAAAAAAAAGTAATTAAAAATCCTCTAATGAATCCATATTTTGAGGTCCTACTGACTTGCATTTTCCTGAACAGAACTCAAGTATTATGAGGTACTACTAAACTAACTAATTTCTAGTTAAGATATTTGTTCTTGAGGCTGCTATACTTGATACTCTTTCTTTTAAGAGATACAACGCATTTGGAGATTGAGCCTTTCACGCTTCTTGGTGTCTGTGCTGGCCTGATTCCATATCCTCACCACAACCAGTCTCCAAGAAACACTTACCAGTGTGCCATGGGGAAACAAGCAATGGGTAAGACTTTTTTTATTCTTTTGTGGAGTCTTATGTAGTTTTTGAAGCTATGTAGCAAAAGTGATAATTCTGTCCTGGTTCATGCTGAAAGCATCGCTAGGAAGAGAGCACTTCTTTAATTTTGAGGAAGAAAGAATTTACCTCTCAAAGTTGGTAAAGTTAAAACGAAAAAATACCAGTCATTTTTAGTTAATTGAGACCGTATTTGCAGGTCTTAATACTTACAAGAAAAATTGGAGAAACTGGGGCACTATTGCTTTTTTGTTGGATTTTGTTTGACAGTCGTCATGACTTTCAAGTTTTCAGTGTAGCTGCAGGATTGGCAGTGGGGTTTTTTTTCTCTCTTTTGTGCTGCAATGTGCCGTAGGTTTCTAGACAAAAAGAGTTTAAAAAGTTTTCTGACAAAGAGAGACAGAGCACAGGAAGAGAATTTCCCTGAATAGTTGAGTAGGTGCCCTAGAAGTAAGTAAGTAAATAAATAAATAAATAAGTCATTACATTGACATTAGAGAATAAGAGAAATCAAAATGTGAGAGTGCTTAGTTACTTGAACACTTCCTGCAACTGAAGTTCAGAATTTTGGGCTTTTTCTTTTTTGCATGAAGAGGGCAAGTAGTGGCCTCTCAGCAGAACAACCAAAACAAAATTAATTTCCTGATCATCTAATAATTCTTTTTACAAATGTGATAGCTGATTGTTAAAACCCAACCATTTTGTAAATTTGCTGTTGTGTGTAACTGACACGAGGTAAGTTCTTCCTTTAATACACAGCTAAACGAGCGTTAAAGCATCTGAGTGGCATGGCCCCAGAGCAAGGCAGAGCGAGTCCCAAGAAGAACCTGACCAGCAGCACTTCAGCTCAGACAGCTGTATTCAGGCTTGTGCTGTTCGTGCCAGTTTCCTGTCCTGTACGGATGGCTTGCTCGCAAGTTGAGAGCTACAGCAGAACAACTCTGTGTCAGGAAAAAAACTACCACTTCTGTTAGGTTTACTAAACCATTTGTTTGGTGCGGCGTGTTCAAACTTGAAACACTGCACCTTTTGTGAGACTCCTCCTGCAGAATTAATAGCAAAGCAACCTCCTTGTGCTGAACTGTCATGTTCAGTGCATCAAAATAGCAGAAAATAGCAACAGATGCATGTCCATCCTTTAAATTAAAAAAAAAAAAAAGGACCGATGCAATCTTTTTTCTTACAGTTCTCCCCCATCCCATTATCTTTCCCCCACCCCCGAGGCTCTGTTTTATGACTATTAGTCTCAGAAGGTTTGGTTAGTTACCACACACAGTTAAGCAGGATCAGTGTGTACAGAAAGCCAATTCAGTATCTGTGGAGTTCTTTTGTAGTTTTCTGTGTGAAGGTTTTTTTCCCGTTTTGTTTTGAGTGTCATTTGCAATTCATTGTCTGTGTTTTCTGAGGTTGGTGTATTCAGCTGCTTTGACCCTAGGTCTTGCACATTTAGCTCCTTGGATACAATCCTCTGACGTTCCTG